CAATTGGTATCAAAGATAACAATTTCCTATGCTCGAATACTTCTCAAACAGATTGAGTTTTCATTACCCTAATATTTGCGCGCGCACACACACACACACACAAAAATTCATTATCATATGGTTCACAAAAAAGTATATAGTATCTCATTTCTTTGATTCTTTCATATTCCTATGGTAGAATGGTAGGATAGCAAGGGAAAAAGAATTTGGATAGAAAGTCAATAATATCTGTTCAATAATCAATAGTCTTCATGTTGAGTAGAGACATCCGAAACTTTGCCTTGTGCGTCGTGCATTTGCCCCCAGACAGATCAATTGATGGATAGAGGTTCATCTTGTGTCGAATATGCTAATCCGGATTCTCTTGGGACAATAATCATTACCTTCGGTAACATTGACTATAATGGAAGGTTTACTTTAGCTTGTAGTTGAAAAATATTGAAAATAAAGAAAATTGCAAAATTAACGAAAAGGATATTTTTCTAACTTTAACCTAATAATTAAGGAATGAAATAATTCAACTACAAAAATAAGATAATGTCTTAAAATTCATCCTAAAAATAAAGTGTCTAATCCTGGTAAATCTTCAAGAAAATATCTATTATGGTCTCAATAATAAGGTCGAATATGGCATGTACTAGCTAATAGAAACTTATAAGCATATATAGAAACTTATAAGCATATTACAATAAGTTATGAAAACTTTATTTTAATTGTTATTTGTAATTCTATAAATAGAGTTTTCTCTTTGCAATTCAAAGATGATAAGAGTTGTATAATTCCAATTCCTCTCTGTGTTAACTACTTCTCTAATACATCTATAATAAATTAATCTTTCACAAAGTTATCTATTATTTATGCGCTAAAATTTAATTTATTTGACTACTCTCACTTAGTTATCTTGAAGCACCCATGTATTACTAACAAATTTTTGCTATTTTACAAATAAAAATATATTAATTGATAATTATTTATAGGTCCTCTAACTTTCTAAGAGTGTATTTGATTGACATGAAAAATATCACCTAGAAAAGAAAATGTTTTCCATCTTTTGTGGAAAATAAAAACCACTTCTACCCAAGGAAAATGTTTTCTTTAAAAACAAGGAAAATTAAGCATATTTTCAAAAGTTGGAAAGTGTTTTCCATGGAAAAAAATAGCAATCGGACATTCCAAGTAGGAATTTGGATGGAAATTGATATTTTTCATAAAAAATAAATGTAATCAAACACACCCTAAATGAATAGTATTATTGGTACCACTGCCAAAAACACGAGAACAAGAACACAAATTCAATCTGGTTGATTCTTTGTGAACACCTAGATAGTATATTCAAATTGAGAAAAAAGTCCACTTTTTAATGGATCAAAACTAGCTTTTAAAATATTTGAAAGAAAGCACTATCCTGGGCTGGCCCTAGGGCCAATCTACCTAGGCAAAGGCTTGGGGCCGTAAATTTGTGAGTTGGGCCTGGGGCCTCCAAATTCTGATGGCTCCCAAAAAAGAAAATAAAAGGGGGAAAATTAAATGTAATACCTTTAGTAATATAGTAATTTTTATAATACATTATATCATTTTTTATTCTTTTTCTACTGAATTTTTTAGAGTAAAAAGTAAAACACAAAAACTACATATACACATTAAATTGTTTATATTGGTAGCATATATTACTCTGACAAACAAGCCATAGTAAATTTCACAACACCCCGACCAAAATTCCCAAATTTATATCCATGTAATTCATTCAGCAAAAGCTTTTGATTCCTATCTAATTGCTGCAGTCTTTTCCTTCTCCTTATACATCAACTTGGACCTTTCGACAGATTGTTGCATTTTCTCGATGCATATTCCAAAACCAACTGGCTTATGATCCCAAGAGTTGTTCATCCTCAACCTCTTGTTCTTATCCTTGAGTGAATGCTGTGAAGTATCATTGTCCTATGCCATAAATAGTTTGCCTGCATTGTTAGAAAATGATGGAACAAAAGCCAAATCTTGCACATCAGAACTGAGATCACTAGTGACAGTTCACAAGGACGCCCCTGTGCACTGAAATCTAAGTGGTTCCCCACCATCGCTTGAAGTAAATTACCTGTCAATCCATCGCTTTCAAGAGCATCATCATTCGGCAAGACATTAATATTAAATCCATCCTCTACTGCCTTCTTTCCTTTTCCTTCCCATCGTCAATGTGACTACACCTCCTACCCTCTACGACACTACAACTTTTCAAGTAATGTCTTCCACATTGTTCTTCCCATCCAAAAGCCAATGCCCTTGCTCCTTCACCTCCTCATCCTTGCAATTCCCAGCATCCATCATCTCTATATTCTTCACTAATTCCTTCTTCCCCACATTTGTCCTAGCACTAGCTCCAAAATTGTGGCTTGAGCCTAGGGCCTCATAATAATTAATAGCTTAGGGCCTCTAGATTCTCAGGGCTGGCCTTGGCGATATCCAAGGATAAACACTAGACACAAAAATTCCCTTTGACTAGAATAAATACTAAGAAGTTAAACAAGTCGATCTATAGAGGACATGTGTCATCTCCTCTGTGCGTCGTACGTCCTCCACAAAAGATTCTAACGAGCAATAGCCTCTTTCATAATTGACAGAACGTTTGCTCTGATATCAATCTAATAGAGCTGGAAAGCGTGAGAACAAATAACACAAATTTAGTCTCGCTGATTCAAATATTCACGCTAAGATTTTGGAAGAACATTTATGAGCATAAGTTGAGTTTTAAAAGAAAGAAAGGGGTAGATTTTGGAGCTTGGATAGCATGGGATTGCGTTGCGAAGTAGAAGTATCTGGATCGATCAAACTGAGAGAAACTCTACGAACTTTTATTAATTAATCGAAACAACCATATTAATACCTAGTGTTTAAAAGAGTTTAAATAGTGACAAATCATTATAAAAAACCTGCGACTATACGAGGACAAAAATGCCCTTAAACAAATAGTCCTATGAGAATGATATGTGCACATACCTAATTTAGGCCATTGTTATTGTAATAGTGCAAGAACAAAAAATAAGAGCAACTAAAAATCCTAGGAAAAATATACGCATGAAAATCTAGAGATCTTCTTAAACAGGACTTACGGTCCATTTGGCATGGCCATCGAAGAGTCAAAAGAAGATTTTGAGACCCAAAAATTGCTTTTGACCCATTTAAATAATTTTATGAAAGTGCTTCTGGTAGTTAGAAGAGTTTTTAAAAGAAGTTGGTCAACTAAGACTTCCTCTAAAAGCACTACCGGAATATGATTTTTTTTTTGTAAAAATTAGTTTTCAAATAAAAACTAAGATAGCTTCTTCCAAAAACTCTTATATAGGAAGCAAAAGACACGCCAAACAGGCCCTTAAAGTGTTAAAATATAAGAATGGGACTTTTAAGTGTTAAAATTGGTGTTTTGAAATGCACAGGGACAAAAAAATAGTACTTCTACTGTATCAGACAAGAAACTTAGAGCCTATTTGGTTTGGTTTGGATTAAATTTGATTTTAATCTAAGAGGGTGTTTGATAGTGATTAAAATTAGATTTTTTAGTAAATTGTGATACAAATTTTTGAAATGCGAGGTTGAAAAATCGTGGAATTTATGAAAGATGTGGTTAATATTGATTGTTTGACTTTGACTTAAATTAAAATTAGATTTTAATCCGTACCAAACATACTATAAGTCAAAGTCAAACAATCAATATTAACCACATCTTTCATGAGTTGCACAACTTTTTAACCACACATTTCAAAAATTTCTAATAGAATCTATTAAAAAATCTAATTTTAATCCCCTCAAACATCCTCTTAATGATGAATCTTATGGTGGGTAAGAAATTAAAATATTTTATGCACACTCAAATTGCTTTGTCTTTGCTACACAACATTGAACATAAGAAAAATGGAAAAGTTGTTAATAAATGATAGGAGATATTAGACACTAATAATTGATCAAATAAAAAAAGTCCCCAAATGTCAAAAATGAACAAGAGCGAGCGTCTTAATGGAGTTATTCGAAAGAATTCAGTTTGCCAAATATTAAGTATATTAACAATGAAAAAGGAATTGAAGATAACATAATGAATAGAATTAGAACATATTAGTTGAATTGAAGAAATGGAAGGTTAAAATGTCACTTCTACAAAATAATTGTTAGATAGAGTAACTTCATGAAATGGAATACTTAATAAATGATAAGAACAACCACCATAGGGTTGAAATAAAATAAATATAATGAAAATGAGAATGAGAATATAGGTTAACAAAATTAGTTGACACCCATCAAGGTAAATTAAAAAAAGACTTCAATTGTTGAGACATTTTGTGCAGACTTAAAAATAATTCTCGTTCATTAGAATGACACTCTCTCTAAAATAGGTTTAGCAAATGAGACATACCAAAATTAACATGATCCGTGGTTCAAGTACATGTTGCGACATAACCTAGTGTTCTCAACTTCTTCAACTAGAATTTGTTCCATAAACACCTCAGAATAAATGAACAAAAAAATACAAAAGTAACAAGCAACCTAACTGATAACTGCTGGCGTCCACGTAGGAACATACGACAGTAGCAGCAGAAGACCATTTTTCTGGCCTATAAGATTGCTGTACAGGTGAAATCATGGAAAAACACAAAACAATTTGGCAGCGCATATAGGCACACGGCAGCAAATATGAGGAAGCGAACCATGCGAGTTTTCTTTGAAAAAATCAAGCATGGACTATGGAGAAGCGCAGCAACTTTTGTACTGACAAAATATAGTATAAAATTCTCAAAATTAAAGCTACTAATTTCTATAAAAATCCTTAATCTACACTCAAAAGCCTCGATTCAAAAACTTATAATTCAGTAAATTTACGCAAAATAAAACACTTTGCACTATAAGATCAGATAATACATTTGAAAAATTTAGAACACACTCTCGCAACGGGAATAGAATAACTAACCTGTTGCTGCTACAGAAACGGTAGAGTTTCCCACGGCTGGAAAAGATAATAACATTAACATCAACTTCGCAGAGAACAGCCAGCTCTTTCGCCTTCTTTATCAATCCATTCCTTCTCTTCGTAAAAGTTACTTGTCTTGAGCTCTTGTTCTCGATTCGCTTTATCTCCAACTTCCTGCGCCCCATTGTTCAAATACAATTCAGTTAAAAAACACTGAAGATTTATTGAAGAAAGAAAGAAATTGACTGAATTCCCAATTGGGAAAATGGGGATTTTGGCGGTTTTTTCACTTCTCCGATCCTCTTTTTTATACGGGTCAAAACTCCTTTTTTTTTTTTTTTTTTTTTTTTTGGGTCAAAACTCCGTTTTTTTTTTTTTTTTTTGGTAAATGGTAATTCAACAGTCGCATCAATTTCGTGGCTTTTTCTGAATCAATAAAAGTATAAAATTCGAAGAGGATAACTGTCAAAATCTTTTCCAAGCAGAATTGGACACGTGGAGAATAGCGTAGCTTAAGCTGGGTTTCGTGTGTTCCGATCATAAAAAATGTTAATATTGCAGTTACTCATTGAAACGGCGTGGCCGTGTGCCCAGCCAATCATGTCGCCATGTTTACCGCCAAAGTCGGTCAGAGGTAAATAACAGATAATTGGCAAAAACTAATCCGATATGTCTTCATTGGAATAATTGTTCTCGTAGTCAAATCAACTTCATATGAATGAATCCAATAGCAACACTTAAAAAAAAAAACATTATAACCAATTTGCTAAGAGAGAGAGAGAGAACGAAAAGGGGAAAAAGCTAAGACTGCGATTTGCTTAGTTTTCTATTTTTCATGATCGATTTCAAAATGATTTTTAATTTTTTTAGAAAACGTTGCGTTTTGTGCATTTTTCCCGTTTTGGACATATATAACAAAAAACGCTCAAAACGATAAAAAATCGTTTACGTTTTTAGTTATAAATTTTATCTCGTTTTTGAAAACGCATTTTCGAAAATAACGAACCAAATACATTTTCCACATTTTCGAAAACGGAAAATGGAAAACGGTCCGAAAACACCAAACCAACAGCAAGCTAGTGTTTTACACATGAAAAAATAAAATATAAAATAGTAAAGTAAATCTGGATATGAATTTAATTTAATTTTAATAATGGATTGAGAGCATATTGCTAAGAATAATTCAGATATGAATAGTACCTTGGAGTGTCTATACATGCGAGGAGAAGGTAATTACTTTATGCTTCACGAATAGGAATGGTTTAAGGATATATTTGAAGTATATGAAATATGATTGTGTTACATGTACACAAATTACAAATTTATTTATTGACAGATGATGCGGTAAAATATAATTGAGTCAAAATTTCACCAACTAAAAAAAAAAAAAAAAAAAAATCACCAACTTTCTTTTGGTTACTTTATCAATCTATAAAAGAATTTGTAAATGATGATGTACAACTAACATTTTGTAAAAAAAAATTTGGTACTATTGAATTATGGGAACCAGACGTCAATAAATCTTCCCTCATAAATATCAAATAAATATGTTTGATTGGTTTAGAAAATGTTGTATTTTTCATCTTTTATTGTGGGGGGGGGGGGGGGGGGGGGGGGGGGAGTTTTGGTTTTGGGGGGGGGGGGGGGGGGAGAGATATTACGTGTGTAAATTGCCTAGAAAAAGAAAAACTTAACCCCCTCCCCCCATTGGTAAAAGTTAGATTGGAAAAAAATGAAAGAAAAAGAAATGCAAAAGTTGAGTTTAGATTTCCAGAATGAGAATTACCAATTGTCAATTATCTTTAAATTACATGATGTGTGAATATTTATAGGCGAATAAAAACAATCGAGGTCTTTCAGATACTTGATACGTGTCATTATCCCAAGGACTTACATATCAAGCTCAATGATGTCACTGTATAGCCGTCATAGGCCTATGAACACCCCCACACCTTTTCTTAGGTAAATAAGAGGAGAACAACAACTAGTCACATTTGCAAAAATGTCACATCAATTAAATTACACATGGCTCAATTTGTTAGTTGTAACTTGGTTTGGGCATCAAGTGTTTGTCCTAAACTTCCTCAGACTCAAGAGGCGAGATAATTAAATCAATGCTCACCAAACTTTATCTTAGGTTACCACTTGCTCATCCAACTAAAAATGATTACTCTTTTCTTACTCATCTTTTCAAACGTTTACTCATCCATCACTCTTTTCTAAACTGTTACCTACAATTAACTGAAATTGCAACATATACAATGGAAAGCTGATTTGGCATATTTTGTCCGTTAATTTGTCCACTTGTTTGAAACACGCTTGCTTTCTTGAAACCTTAAAATCAAAATCTAAACTCAAAATCACCCACAATTGAAATCCTCAATTGTGCAAAGATAAACCAGAAGAAAAAGAAGAAGATGCAAATGTGGTACTAAAAATTCGAACTTCAGAATGGTACCACTGAGACCCAGAATAATGTATGGGAGAGATATGTTGAAGCAGAACCAAAGCATGGTGAAAAATGGTAAGTAATATCAAAGACTCTGGGGAATTCTCACCAGCCAGCAGAAGCCATCTTGAAGAAAGTGGTATTGCACTTGAAAAGAAAGAGAATGCTGTCGAGTACAAGGAGAACTCGTTTTCTGTAATTTCAATTTATCACTTTCCTGGTTTTTGGATCTTGTAACGGTAGAAGACGAAGTTACATCCAAACATACAGAAGCAAATGTATGCAAAAGAATTAAAGATAATAAGCTGCTTGAACCTTTGTAACAAGTATTGACCATCCAATATGTAACTGCATTCTCGTATCTACAAATGTGGGAAAAGGAAATATCATTTTTTCCTTGGTAACATTTCATGCTTCTCCCATAAAAGTTTGTTTCATAATCAAATCAAAAATGAACTTCAAATGTGAGCATCTGTAATTGTTGAAGCTTCGCAGATCTTTAGGCTGGTAATAAGTGCTGGTTTAAGGAAATGGTAGTTACTGATAATCTAGTAGTAGGGAAAAACATTTTATCCAGATTTGGCTCTGTTGATAGCAATACAATGATGATCTGAAAAACTAGATTTGACAAACAAGTTCAAATTAAATAAATGTTAGATTAGACAACAATCCAGGAGACACCGAGATTCTTTTATAATTTGCAAGCAAATTTTGTTCAGCCTAGGA